GAGAGGCTCCCTCAGAGTGGGGAGGGGCTCAGGGCCCCAGGTTTTCCCCTGAGGCACCCCAGTAGATGGTGAGGGTCCTTTCCAGTGCAGTTGGGTGTTACTGAGGTCCCAGTTCATCGGCTGCTCTTACAAGCAAAGGCTCACCCCTGGTGGAAATATAAAAGGCAGAACTCCAAGGTGGCAGGAAATATTTTCCCACAGCAACCGCAGAGCAGTGGTTCTCTCTGATCTGAGAGCAAGAGAGAGAAGAGCCAAGCCCTGTTCCTCACCCCACAGCCAAAATCTCTGCCCTTCCCGAGAGAAGCCCCTCAGCTACAGGAATGCAGCCAGCTGCACTTTTCTCCCTCCTCCTTGGCTGCCTCTTTTGTCTTTCTTAAATACAGTCATCATCTCTTAGGCAGCTGGTGGGAGAAAATTCCCTGAGCGGAAAAGGAGGAAAAAAAAAAAGAAAATAATCTAATCTCCAACATTTCTTAAAGCCTTGTACAAATGTATTCCTCTTGTTTTCTCAGGGTGCGCTTGGTAGAGAGAGGGTCTCCACACAGCCTGCCACTTATGGAGTCTGGGAAGGTAAGAGACAGAGTGTCATCCTCCTTCCTCACAGAATCCAAGAGTGGTTTGGGTTGGAAAGGACTTCAAGGCTCATCTCATTCCAGTCCTGTCTGCCATGGGTGGGGGGGGCACCTTCCACTATCCCAGGTTGTTCCAAGCCCCATCCAACCTGGCCTTGGGCACTCCCAGGGATGAGGTAGCCACAGCTTCTCTGGACAGCATTTACCAGCCAGGGCCTCACCACCCTCACAGGTGGAAAGAATTTATATTTTTCCCAACATCTACTCTAAAACTGCTGTTTGAGTTTAAAGCCTTTATGAGCTGGTTATGTCCTCATGGCCCTCACCCGGGTGGGGAGCTGCATCACCTGGATCTCATTAAAGAATATGTGGAATGAGATTGGCTAATCAGAATGTGTCCAGGAGAACAGGTTGTAATTGAGTAGTTAAGTGAAGTCAGGTGTATGACATGAAGCAATAGGATAAATTGCTACCACCAAAACAAATTGAGGCCTTCACATGGAAGGCATTTTCTAGGCGTGAAACCAACACTGAAGCTGCAAAACAGCTGCTCAGAGTTAGAATTATTTAACAAGTTAAACAACTGTAGTAGGAAGAAATGGTTGGTGTCTGTGGAGTAGAAAGGGAAGCACAGACTGTTGACTTCTGATTAACTTTTCTTTTGATGGATTCATTTTCTTAAATTTTGTTTGTTTCTTATTTGAGATTCTTCCGGGAGTAAAGGTCATCATAGCACACACAGAAACCAAGGGACCTCTGGGAGACTCACATTTAGGAGAGGTAAAGGTTTGGTACTGTTGTATTGTGTTTCTCAGCAGTGATGTGATCCATCCATACCTCCTGTTAGATAAATGCCTCCCTTCCCCTGAGTGGGACATGAATGAACCCCACAGAGCTGGCACTGTGTGCATTCCTGCACATGTGGCTGCACAGCACCAGGTGAGACCAGGCTAGTCTGTGTGTGCCCAGCAGCTAGAACAGGTAAGGGATGTACTCCCATCAGCAAGCAGCAGCAGTAGGTAATTTGCTGTTTGGTTTGACTTTTATTTTATAGGCATCTTTTGTTGTGTAATAAGATGCCCAGCTAATAGGGTAGCAGGTGTTCCTTTCCAGTAAGCCAAATGCCTGGTTGATTTTTTTTATGGCCTTTACCATCCCCCAATTACACGCATATAAAACTCCTTTTCTTTGGTCAGAAGTTCACGCTTTCAATAAAACTCGCTTTTTGGAGCAGTCAAAATTGTCAGTGAAACGGATCTTTTAAATCCATTAACGATGCTGTCTGTGTCTGGCAAAATACCCTGTGTTCATTCCAGTTGGGATTTGGTTTATCCCCTAGATATGGGTGAGTAGCCCACACAACGCTACTGGTTACTACACGGTGTATGGAGAAGAAGCGCTGCACGCCGATCACTTTACCGCCCGCCTGAGCTTTGGGGACACTCAGACCGTGTGGGCTCGCACCGGCTACCTGGGCTTCCTGCGCAGGACGGAGCTGACGGACGCCAGCGGAGGTGAGGAAACACCTGCACCCACAGAAACACTGCTCTGAGGCTCCTAGGGAAAGCTGAGCCAGCAAGCATTGGGCTCCCCAGCATGTTTATGCTGACTTCCCTCGCAGAAGGCTCCTGAATTAAGGAGATGTTCTGTCATTCAGCAGGTTCAGGACGTGCACAGACAGCAGTGATTTTGCAGTCTTTCAGGAGTTAAAGGTCTAGAGGAGAAACTTTCCAGTATAGAAAATTGTTAATCTTGAGGGTTTTTTGATCTAAGCCAAGATGTCTAAATTTGGGAAGAGTTTATCTTCCATCTGCTCTGTTTGTATACAGAATGCAAAGCAGATGTAGCTCTTGATTATCATATATGTAAAGGAATAAACCTCTGAACAGTCTAAGAAAAGGAGTTTGCATGCTTCTAGCTTAGTAACAAATATATATTGCTGGTTTTCTGTGACTGGATTTAAATGTCTACATTTAAGTGTCTACATGAATAGTGTCAGCGTCCCAACTGCTGCCACTGAATAATAATACTAGCAAGGTTTTGGGCCTTGTAGCTTTCTGAAAAATCACGTATCACAGAGATTTTTATCACCATGGAACAATGTCAGTTGTCCTTTAGTTTTTAAGAGACTTTAGGCTGTGAATTTACAGTATACATTAAATACGACTTCCCAGCATGATTTTCACCTCCAGTAACACAACTGAGCAAGACTATAAAATAGTTAACAAAGAAAAAGCAAAATTGAACTGAGCAGAGTTACAAGTGTGAATGTGCAGAGTGTGTCCTTCAGGTAGGGTCTAGGAGAGCTTTGCTTATTTAACCTGGCAAAGCTGGGGCTGGGGAGAGGAGAGAATTGTTATTATTGCGTAAACTGTGGCATCTTAAGAAACTGAGTAGAATTTTGTTGGTAGGAGTGGGCATAAGCTGGTGTTAGAAAGAAAAAAAAGTTAAATTTGAAATTGGAAAAGTGGTTGTGTCAATCAGAGAAGAAAAGTGCTCTGGTAAGAATAGTGGAACAAAAAGATGTTTTAATGGTGGATTTTGCTTGGGTTTATGAACCGAGGTTACATGTTATGAGAGAAAGGACAGAACTGGATGACCCAGAAATTCTTTTCATTGTGGTTTCAGTTGCTTGGAGTCATAAGCAGAAGTGCTATATGAGCTCTTCATTCTCTCAAATGCTAGAGCTTGCATTATAGACTGTTTCCCCTAGGAAGCACCGGGAGCATCTTAGAATGTCAGGAATAAGCACATAGAAGTGACTGTGTTTGTCCTGTAGATGTGGTGTTGTTGAAATATGTGTGCTGTATTGCAGAGAGGCACGATGCCTTGTATGTGGTGGGCTCTTTGGATGAAACACTGGAGCTCAGAGGAATGAGGTACCACCCCATCGACATAGAAACCTCTGTAATCAGGGCACATAAGAGCATTGCAGAATGGTAAGCAGCATTATTTTTCTGTATCATTTTATTTCTTCTAAAGCAGAAGAACTTATAACTTCCTTGGCAGTGTCAGAATGTACACATGTGGGTGTGGTAAACGCATCTCAAGGATTTAATGGATGATGTCTTCTCACATATTTTATTCCCATTTGGCCCTGATGAGTTATGTATATCATTTGCTGTAGGTTCTCTCCAGCCTCAAAGCATTCAGGTTTAGTTGTAAGCTTTGGGAGGTCATGTCTTTCTTTTCATAATCTCTTTTAGTGACTTGCCTAGGTCTTTTTTCCTCCCCATTAACACGTGTGTCATGCCAACAGTGCAGTGTTTACGTGGACAAACCTGCTGGTGGTGGTGGTGGAGCTGGAAGGCTCAGAGCAGGAAGCATTGGATCTGGTTGCACTGGTGACGAATGTGGTCCTGGAAGAGCATTATCTCATTGTTGGTGTCGTGGTCATCGTGGATCCCGGGGTCATTCCCATCAACTCCCGTGGCGAGAAACAACGGATGCACTTGAGAGATGGATTTTTAGCTGATCAGTTGGATCCTATTTATGTTGCCTACAACATGTGAAAACAGCAAATAACATCAAGGCTAAAGCACCAAAATCCAAGGGGCTTTCCTCATAATAACATTGGAATCCATGCTCTTGTTTTAAAAAGCTGTTGAAGACTTTAGGAAAATGGAGATACTTCTCTTTACATGCAGCCCTTCATCTCCCAGATTGCATTTGCTTTCATAAACCCATGTAACAGTCACAGCTGTCTTAGGATGGAGAGAGTTTACTGGAATTCCTGAAGGAAGCTTATTAGAACTATCATGGACCAGTTTTATTTTAGGAGGGGGGGGCAGAGGGGAGAGAAAATTATGAATGTCAGTACTTGATGCACTGCATAAAAGGACATAGAGTGGGTTGGGGAGAGAACAGCTGTGAGGAGGACTCCTGGAAATGGCACCCAAAGTTGTGAGTAACCATCCAGAGTTCACCCTCCACGTGACTGCAGTATATTGGCAGTATCGGGGTTGGGGCCTGTCCTTCAACATTGCACACACCTCTACCACATTCTCTACTGAAAGGAATTTTGCACATATTTGAGATTTTAAAATCCAGCCTTTTTATTTTAAGTCACTGACTCATCCCTCTTCAGAAGAAGCCAACCCCTTCCAATCCTGGATGCAGTGTAACAGTTATGCTGCTGATCAGCTTTTTTGTACCAAGCAAAAACAAATACTGTAACAAGGTTACTTACGGTGCCATGCTGGACTCTGTAATGCTATAAACTTTATAATAAAATACAAAGTAATACCCAGTTTTAAGTACTTGGTGCAGGAGCCTTCAGTGCTCTTGCTCTTAACTCCATGTCAAAGTTGCTTGTTTTCATAGTGTGAGCTGTTAATTCCTGCCTTGCATAATGCCAAGGGTTTGAAAATCCATTCCAAAGCCACTCTGAATGATTTGTATAAATGTTTACAAAGCATAGGCTTACAAAATGTTTTCCCTGAATATTCTGTGCTAAAACTTGAAATAGTAACTTTTTTTCCCCACCATAGAAAACACATTCATTGTTAGTTAGCTTGAGCTGTTGTGGTACAAACTTCCTTTGATTTCTTTGGAGTTGTATTTAAACTCTTTTGTTCAGGCTAAAATATCCAGTTGGTTGGGTCACAGTTGGACTAATTAAGGTTTTGAAGTTTTTGCCTGATCCAATACTGCAGTGAACCTAATGCAGAAAGAGAATGTGAAGTTATTAAAGTAATTCTGTGTTTGAAGGTAGGCACAAGACTAGAAAATAATTATTTTTATAAATTTGTTAAAGAGAGCTACATAACTTTTTTTAATAATGCACAAGGTTGCAGAAGAGCCAGTTACTTCTGCAAGGCAATTCTGCCTGGATTAGTGCCTAAGAAAGATGGATGTCAGTCCCCTGATAGATCAGATTTATCCACAGTCACATAAACTCTGAAATCTTCAAGAAAAAGCTCTGCTTTACAGTAGTTACGGGCCCTGATAGTGTTTACCTGTAGTGTATAATACAGCTGCATACTCTGACTGTAATTATGTACAGAACTTGTGTAACTTATTGTTTGAGTCCAGCAGTCTCCAGCAGCAGGCTGTGGGACACCCCTTCTCCCAAAACAGCTGGCAAAAGGAGACAACTCCCTAACCCCCAGTTCCATGTTGTAGTTTTTTAGCAAACAAAGCATTGTAAGACTTTTGTATTGAGATCCTGATGAAAGTGATACAAGTTGCCTTGTAAAGTAAATCTTAAAACAAAAAGCTTATTAAACATTTCAGAACAGCTCTTGCAAATCTGACTTGATGAATGTTGAAACGTAAACTGTTAGCTCAAAACCTTGGCTTTAGCACAGTTCTCATATATCAGACAGTTTAATGTATTAAGAGCTTTTTCTGCAAAACCTCACTGCAATTGCTTTGCAGGTAAAGCAGTTGTAAAGGCTGCATGGTCCTGAATTTCCTGTGTTTGCAACCCCTGCCAAGCTGCAGTGCTGTCCGTCAGCACGTCAGGTATGGCACCGCTGCCATGGGGCTGGCAGGGCATGGCTGTTAGCATGGCACTGCCACGGTGCAGCTGCTCCATGCATGGCAGGGCCTTTCCAGGGCCTTTCCAGGGCCTCTGAGCTCCAGCTCCGGGCACAGACCGCCCATGTCCCTGCTTGGTTTGCAGCTGGACAGCCGCTGAAGTTTGTACCCTTGGGAAACATTGCAGAAGGCACCTGCTGGACAGAAAGGCCTGACGCCAGCTCCAGCTGATGGCTGCAGGGAGAAAGCACTAGCTGAAAAGGAAAAGCACAAGCAGAAACAGCAGCATTGGGATGATCCCCTCCAGCAACTTCATCAGGCTGCACTGCCAAAATTCTCCGGAACTGTCAGGGTAAAGCAGTTTCTGTCTCCAGGCTCTTCCCCTTCAGCCCAGTAAGTCCCGTGGGCCCCTGTGTCCACTGGGAAGGAAAGATGAGAATGAGAGAGGGCATTGGGTGTGAGAAGGGTTGGGTATGGCAAGGGCCACACTCACAGGACTCCCTCGAGGACCAAGGATGCCCTGGAAAACAGCAGCTCGGGAGGTGAACGTGTTCCTGCCAGCCAGGGGGGTTAGGATGGGATGAGATGGAATGGAATAGGGTGGCATGGCATGGCAGGGCAGCTCCAGCCAAAGCAAGGATACACAGTAGACTTTGCTGGGGAAACGCACAGAGGAGACAGCAGTGCCCCTGCCAGCTGCTGAGACTTAGCCAACAGGGGAGCAGGGAAGCACAAGCGGGATCAGGGAGCAGGCAGGGTGATGGGAAGAGCCCATTGTGCAGCAGCAAAGCCAAGGCACACCCTTACTCACCAGCTGCCCAGGTGATCCCCTCACCTTGCCCAGCATAGCTAAGGCTGTAGTCTTGGGGGGGCTCAGGGCCAGCCATAGGAAGTTTGGTCCAGTCTCCACTGTGCTGGATGGGATGGGATAGCCAGGAGGTCATCTGGGGGGAGGGAGGGATGGATGCACAATCTGGCACCCAGCACTCTCAGCACCTCTGCCCCTCAGGGAGGAGGTTGGGGCCCATCCAGCAGGCCCACGAAGGCCCAACACTCGTGCACACCCTGTGTGTCATCAGTGGCATCTAGCATGTCCAGCAGCTTGAAATAACCAACACAGAAGGTGTCAGTAGGCATTGAGGCCACAGGGATCAGCTCTCTGCACGGTCCTTCTCAGCTTGAAGGACCACTGTGCACATTACAGCTTCATAAGGATTAAAGATCCCAATAGAAGTCACACAAAAATATGCCAGGACAAAAACATGTGCTTCATGTCTCTTTCTCTTCATCCAGATTGTGCTGCTGTGCTATAAGTGCTTCCAGTTAGATTCAGATGTCAAGAGAGGCCGAACACGGGGCTACGTAGCACTGAAAAGCTAAGGGCATGGTATAGTCCAGCAAGACATTTCTGTGTAGGAGCTATTGTTGGACATAGCCAGTGCTGGATGTGCTATGCAACTTCTGCTTGGTAAGTTCCTGAAGGAGAACAGCAATGCAAGTTCCTGAAGGAGAACAGCAATGCTTTGTCATGGGAAGGAAAGAATGTAGCCCCAGCGTTGGAGATGCAGGTAAGATGTGCAGCGCAAAGGCGGCAGCAACTTTCTATCCTGGCATATTTGGTTTGGAAGCACTGACTAAATTTGTACATGGAGTTGGTATCCATCTTTGCAAGGCGGTCTTCCTCCTGAAAGATTAAATTTGGCATGTGTTTTCTACTTCTCAGAGGTAGCCTTCTTGAAATTCTGCCACCAAAATTCTTTTGGACAAGGTAAGCAGCTACGCTAGGTCTTGGTGTGTAGCTGATTTACTGCCCTGGGCAGGCAATGCCCAGTACCAGTGTTCTGACACCTCTGTAGGGGATCAGTCCCTGGATATTTTGGATTTTGGAGGAAGGGTTACCATTTCTTTTGAGATGGAGTTCTAGTTCCTCTCTTTGGCAAAGAAAGCAAATTTGGATGGGCACTTTGAATGGTCTCTTAATTTAGAGACTTTTCCCAATAGGCAGTTCTCTGGGTTAGAGCTGTTGAACTGTCAGTGGGAATGCAGATGCCAAACTGTTGAGTTTTTGTCCTTGTAGCTTTAGTGTGTGAGCAGTCCCTGGTGCCATTCCATTTGGATCCTGACTCTGTGAGACTGAAGGCTTCCGGTGGTACCTAGAGCTGAGAAGGAAAGTGGTGATAGCAGGGTGTCCCTTTGTAGTTTGTTGGGTGCCATTGAAATTGTAGGCAGTAAAGAGCTTTCTCCACCTACACTTTTGTGAGCCCCGGTTTTGGCAGATGTTTTCAAGTTTGTTACCTGTGAGAGTGAAAAGGTTTGTTAGGGGAGAGGAGCTCATGTTGCCGTTTGAAAGTGCTGCAAGGAAGAGTTTGTACTTGGAAGGGGAGGATCTTACAAACCTTTTTGTCCTCACACAGGTGATTTGAGAGCAGGGATGTTTCAGACTTGGCTCTGTCCTGGGGCTGGTTTCGAGCTGGGCTCGGTGCGTTTCTGTCTTTTGTGAGTTGACAGCGCTATCGTGTGGTTGTACTGGTTGTGCAGTTTATAGGCTGCAAAATAAAAGGCAATTGCAGTGCAGCCCGTTCCTTTTAGAACCTTTTCTGTGCCATCAGCTGCTCAACGTCCCACTGAACTGCATCCAGCTCCCTGGTGATTTATTAAAAATATGGATATTGATCTAGTACCGATATCCAACTGTGACGGACAAAAACTCTCTAACAGTTTAAAGTTAGAAAGTGTGTGTTTTATGTTTATTTGACCCCAGGCAGTGTGCAGGATCGCTCCCAAATACACACCACACTTTCCAGGTGATTACAGAGTCTTTTTATCCATACAAGTATTGAATACACAAAATACAAATACATATTCATCATTTTG